TTTATTTGTACTCACTCTTGCTCAGAAAAAGTTACAACAAAGAGAATACTAAAAAGTATGAGTTAGAGTACTGGCTGCCTGGAATAACCATAAGGGCTAGCGGAGCCAGGCAGCCAGTTGACATCAGTATTAAATAAAAATAAATTATAAATTATAGGTCAGCAAGAAAACTGAAGTACAAATGCACATGTAAAAAGAAAAAATATATATAAAAAGGAAGGGAGAGAACAGAAAAAATGCTATCTAAGTTAGGAAGGAAGTCTGAAATAATAAAATTTGCATATAAATAGAAAACATGAAGACATGGAAAGGTGACAATTTGACAAAAGACTAATTTACGGGTGATTTTGAAAACAACATAACTGCTTATGAGAAAAGAAGTAACTAATAATTTTTGACAAGATCACATATTACAGAGTCCTTAAAGTTTCAGATAGAGAGGGTTTTCAAATTTTCAGTAATTGAGTTCCATACTTTGGGGCCCTTAAATCTTATATTAAATATTCCATAATTTGTTTTTACTTTAGATAAGGTATAGGACATATTTGAGGCACTTCTTGTATTATAATTATGTCTTTTATTAACTTGCGTGAAGAAAGTATCAAATGTAACTGGTAAGCGTCTATTGTGGAATTTATGCATAAAAACTGCAATACTAAGAAAAACAAGATCAGGCAGTTTAACAATATCTAGGTGTTTGAAGATTGGACTAGAATGCTCATGGAATTTAGAGAAAGTAATCACTCGCATTGCTTTCTTTTGTAAAATGAACAAAGGCTGGGTAGTTGAAGAATAGGTGTTACCCCAAGAGATTAAACCATAGGTTAAGAAGGGATACATTAAGGCATAATATAGCTTAACCAGAATGTCTAGATTCACGTAATAATGGAGTTTAGAAAAAATCCCAATATTTCGCTTAATCTTTTTAGCAATATAGCTTACATGACTTTTCCATGATAAATTAGAATCTATTATAATACCTAGATATTTTATTGAGAACTCTTGGTTTAAGTTTATACCATTTAAAGAGAAAGTGACATGAAAGGGTAACTTTCTTTGTGGAGGGTGGAAGATGACAAAGTTTGACTTATCAATATTAAGTGAAAGTTTACAATGCATTTCACAAAAGAGAAGAATATTCCAGGGGTAGCCGTATTTTTAGATTTCGAGAAAGCGTTTGATTCGATTGAGTGGAATTTTATTCATAAATGCCTCGAAACGTTTAATTTCGGTCTTGATCTCCGACAGTGGATAAAAGTGTTCTATACAGATATCTCTAGTTGTGTTTTGAATAACGGGTACGCCTCAAAACATTTTCATCTAGAACGCGGAGTGCGTCAAGGTTGCCCACTTTCCGGCACATTATTCATTATTGCTATTGAGCTACTCGCGCAAAGTATTAGATGCTCAAAAGAAATAAAAGGTATCACAATAGATGAACATAAAGAGGTCAAACTTTCGCAATATGCAGACGACACAACTGTACTTCTGTCTGATGTTCAATCAGTGTCAAAGTTATTTGATTTATTATCACTTTTCGAAAGGTGCTCTGGTCTAAAACTAAATCAAACAAAATCTGAAATGCTATGGCTTGGCTCTGTAAGCCACAGAAAAGATTCTATACTTGATCTTCAAATGAGCGGTGAGCCAGTTTACGCGCTTGGAGTGCATTTTACATATGACCTAGAAATGTCTGAAAAGAAAAATTTTTTGGACAAATTAGATTCTTTAAAGAAAACATTGAACATGTGGTCCCAAAGAGACCTCTCCATCGTTGGTAGGATAAATATAATTAAAACATTGGCACTTTCAAAACTTGTCTTTATCTGCAGCGTCATGTGTACCCCTAAAGACTTCAGTAAAGAAGTAAACAGGATCGTGTTCGACTTTATTTGGAATCACAAACCCGCCAAAATAAAAAAGACTACCCTTTTCAAGCAAAAAACAGCTGGTGGCTTGGACATGAGGGATTTTTCTCTCTTTGATAAAGCACTAAAGTTAAACTGGGTAAAACGGTTATGCTCTAACTCGGATGCTCCATGGCAGTACATACCAAAATCCCTCCTAGCCGATGTTGGCGGTACAGAACTGTTTAAATGTAACTATGATTATAATCTCCTTGACCTAGACAACCATCTTCCTTCTTTCTACAGAGAAATCATTTTTTACTGGCAGGACATTGCAATGACCACACCTAAAAATAAAACTGAGGTTCTCTC